GCTGTTAGCAAAAATCTTGTGGACTTGGTTCAGCTCTTGATCGAGCGTGGAACAAACATCGAGGAAGTTAATGACGACGGTTATACGCCATTAATGCAAGCGGCGTTGGAAGATAATGAAGAAATAGTCGCCTTACTTTTGAGTGAAGGTGCAAACATCAACGCTCAAAATAAAGAAACTAAGGAAACGGCGCTTGTCCTGGCTTGTAAAAATGGTTATTTCGGAACAACCGATCTTTTAATCAAGGCAGGAGCGGATATTGAACTTGGTGCAGACACTCCTCTGATGGAGGCTGCGGCGGAAGGATACTTAAATCTTGTTCAATATTTACTGGAATCTGGGGCGAATGTTCACGCTCACAATCGGATGCTAGAAGAGGAGAGCGTGGGATCTCGTTACTCATTGCGCACCAAGTTATTGCCGCGCTCGGCATTAATACTCGCGTGCAAAAACGGTCACATTGCCGTTACTGGTTTTTTATTGCAATTTGGTGCTGATCTAAGGCTTTTTTCAAATGATCTTTACTGAGAACATACCTGGATAGTAAGCGATATTATATGAAACTCTGTTTCATATTTATTTCTTTGTCGGAATGTCTGTGGATTTTGTAAGACATTCATAAGTATTTTTATACGTTTTCGGACACTTCAAGAACCTTAAAATGAACACTTTTGTATTATCCATATAGTACATGGCATCGATATATAGCAAGTTGGACATGATAAAGTGTATTAGTGGAATAGGCCTATACAGGGGAAACCACTATAAAAAAAAAACGCGTCAACAATAGTACCTCATGGGTGACGTGGAAATCTATTGTAATTATACAGAGTGATTTACTTTAAAGTTAATTATCGTGTGAAATTGAGAGCAGTTAACATTAGCGTATCCTGATGGACAAAAAATCGCTGAAATTGTTGGATTCGACAATGAAATTGTTGAAATGAGAAATGAAAATGACTGAAATATTGTTGAAATTCTTTTAGTATGAATAATACTTTTAATATTGAAATACTATGAATTTTAATGATAATTAATGAAAATTAATGAAGATTAATGAAAAATAACGAAAATTAATGAAGAATACTTAATATTCATACTAATTTATTCAAAGATATTGAATATTGAATTATACTAAAATACCATGAATCCTAAAGATAATTATTGAAAATACATGAAAAAAATGAAAAATAATGCAGGATATGTAATATTTCTACAATTTATTATATACTGAAATGTACCGATATGTTATAAATTTTGAGGAAAATTAATGAAATGGGAACGAAATATATAATATTTTTATAGATTTATCAATGAAAGTTACCGAAAACGGAAATAGAATAATTGAAATGTCTCGACGGTCTCGACGCCGACAATTTTAATAAGAGCTTCAATAACATTATATATAATTTATAAATATGCAACTACGGTTGTTATTGTTGACGAATGTCAAATCTAAAAAAAGAAGCTTATCTCCAATTTTCAAGGTGAATTGAATCCTTTCATGAAACGAATAAAAAACTTCCATTACATTGTCATTTTTTCCATTACGTTGACACGAGTGAAAAACTTTAAATTCGACATTAAATTCGGTTTGCAGCAAGGATAAAACGCTGCGAAAGCATGTGAATCAATTTGCTCTGTTCTTGGCCAGGGTGTCTCACAATACTGGTTTTGTTATTTTAAAGCTTAATTTTGATATATGAAGGTTTTTTTTGTATATCTGATGAGATATAAAAGGTGTGCTTTATTAAGAGCCTTTTAAATCGAGCGAAACTATTAATACTAAATGCTATTATCGATTTTGATTATCATAGAGTGCATATGCATAGACATAGTCATAAAGTATTTCAATATTTATATATTTTTATTCGAATTTGTCCGAAGTTTTATATGTAGATTGTTCGAATAGCGTGTTTTTCGGATAGGATTAAATTGATAAGATATTATTTCTATATATGTATATGTATATACATTATCAATTAATATAATTTGCATTTTGTTTCACATGAAAATAAATTTCAATCTCAACGATTCTTCCTTGAGCCGATTTGTCAAATAATTATCCTTACCGTTGACAATGAATTATTCGTATTAGGCTCTGCAGAGTTTTTTTTTGGGTATGCCCTGCATCGAGGAACGTCGGCGAAGATATTTTAGAAACGCAATCAACTATTACTAAACTATTGCTCTTGTGGCTGTTTGACGTTCTGTTTACGAATCCACTTGCAAGTTAATTAGAATTCCCATGGTAAGTGAAACAGTTAACGGACCAGCTGTATGTCGAATGCTCATGTGCATTTACACTTTCCCAGTATCGTCGCCAATTTTTTTTCTTTCAGTCTCAATCTTCAAGTGTAGAATATCAAAACGTGTCGTCTCCTTCTGCTTTGCAAACATCACTGTTTTCGTGGTTTTCCGAATATCTTGATTTAAGTTTGAAATTTCCTTGATTGATCGTTGATTACTTACACATTGAACCACCATTGAAAACAGACAAGAATAAAAGTAGCAGGCTAGCAGGACGTGAAGGCAAACAAGTACGTTTCTTTTTTGTGAGTTGGACTTTTTTCATTGACTGTGTTTATTTTTCACGCCAGAAAATATTCCTGAGTTTTCATAAGCGAGATTGATTAATAACAGAGTTTGTATTTAATTAATCGGCATAAATTTTAATTTTTTACCGTGAAAAATTAAAAAATATAATTAAAAAGAATATGTAGAGTTTGATTAAGGCAATTTTAAATTAAACTTGTAATTTTGATACTTTCGTCACATGAAAATGGTCAATGTTTAACAAATTTACCTATTGTTAAATTAGATGTATGTTTTAATATCGAAATTATACTTTAAATACAATTTACCTTTTGTGTATGTATCTTATATATTTATCATGACTCGAACAAATTTGATTATATACTCACATACATTTTTTCAGAAAATTATTAGCTTCAAACTAGTACTTCATATATATATAAAGAGTTTTATCATATTATAAAGTAATGATGATCGCATTATTTAATGATGATTGTATTAATCAAACGTTTGCATTTTGCGAAATGTACGTATCTATTTCATAAAAGAATAGGATTACTTTTATTATTTTTTACGTCATGTGATAACTTGTTTGAGAAATAGTGCGATAACTGAGGTGTATTAGCACAGTTTGAGTAAAAAATATAAGGATTTTAATGAGTTATTTGCGAATCGTTACGCGTTTCGACAGATAGACATGGCATAAAACAAACAAGGCATTTTAGCAGTAGCATGATGCCTGTGTGTGAGCGACGTATCATCTTAATTAAGACGTAGTGTATATCTTGATGTTCCAATAACGACATAGTCTGTGAAAATTAACAAGAACATGCTATTCGCACAATAAATTTAGTACCAATGTGATTGAAGTTTGTAGTACCAAGAAAAACACCTATGAGGTGTATCTTTGGCTAAAAAGAAAACTTGACAGATATTTATACTTTCATTAATTATTAATTAATTTAAGTATAAATAATATTATTGCGTTTTGACGTAATACATTTCTCTTTATATTATTAACAAAATATAATATAAGAAATCTATACAGATAATAACAGGAATATTGTTCTTAAATGTATTCATTCGCAGAAATTAATGTTTACTAATTGAATAATTATAATATATATATGTAAACAATATGCATAAAATAACATAATCTCTATTAGTAACATGTTGTTAAGATACTAACAAGATATTATTAACTGTTAATTTTAATAACAAAGTACTACGTTATCCTCTGTGACAAAAAGCATTACAATAAGCATGTGGAAACGATACAGTGGCGACGCAGCCGGCTTATAGAAAGAGTTTGTACAAAATATCATCCGATAAATTCAAATGTTTCTTGCACTACTTACGGTACATGACGGTTTTTAAATCCAGTGCCATTTTTTATTTCTTTTTTACTGCTAATCCTTTATATTAAATATATATATATATGTATTTTTTATCAAGATGTTTATATACGATACTAGATCATAGACAATATATAAGTGACGAGAAACATTCGTATTCTTTATACACATGCCCATTGTCACAATACAATAGTGAACAATATAGGATTAATGTGAAAAGTATTAGAGCAAACTCATTAAGATTGTCATCAGACCAACGTCGTCTTATTATTTAAAAATATAAATTAAAAAAGATTTAAAAAGATACTTATTAGCTGTATTAAGGGGATGCTGAAGTGATCAAATTATTATATTACAGTCGTATAAAAATTTTCGAATTGACTGAACGAAATAAAAAATCCTTTTATAGGATTAAAGTAAACGTAAAATTAGGAGGTGGTGCGGTGGATTTCATACTAAAATCGAAAGAATGTTAAAAAAATTTTTTAACTTTTTTTCGATTTTAGTACAAGGTCCATTGCACTACCTCCTATTGATTTTGCGTCTACTTTAATCCTATAAAAGGATTTTTTATTCTGTTCAGTCAATTCGAAGATTTTTATACGACTGTAATGTAATAATTTGGTCACTCCAGCATCCCCTTAATAATTATTTCAATATTTAAATAAAATCTTTATTTATGAATTAATTTTTCTCGTAACTTTTCTACCTTCTATCTGATTGACTTTTTTCATAACAAAATGGAAATAGATTTTATTTTAATTTAAGCATTCGACAGTTAAAGTTATTTTACTGCATTACAAATAAACTCATATTTTTCCTTTGCATGTATCTAACGTAGAAAATCTTTGTGTGAGTTATATCTGTTATGTCATATCTGTTTTGATGATATAACATAGTACTGCTTTTTAATCTCAACAAATTTCAAGTTTTTTCGATTTGTAGGTGTACATTAATTTCAAGTGCAATATTCTGGCGTAGAACGATTAGCATGACGCTATGTGCAGTAGCGAATCCACGTGTACATTTGTTTTCAGATAAGAGCGTCCGGGGATAATGAGCGCAGTTTTATCGGAATACTTAACCGAACGTTGTATACAGTGCTTCTCCGTTTGCAGTTTATAGATTAAAGAGAGCACATCTTAAAAACGGACGAGTTACATATAATACTCTCTATGCAAATATGTCTGTGATATGAAGACTTGGGACAAAATGAACGTAACGTAACACGTATAAAATTCAATTAGGAGGCTGGTAAGTTTTTTCACGACTTTATTTTCCATAAATTGAAACGAAATATACAAGGGTGGGAAACGAGTGAATGAAAATACACAAATGTTAAGTTAAGATTGAATAACTTTCTTTCGGCTTTCGAAGGAGAAAAAAATAGATAATATGGATAAAAAACTAGAGGAAATGAAAGTTTGAGCGTTATAAATTGATTCCTTCTCAATAAATATTTTATTAGACGTTGTTTTATTTACGACTTTTACATTTTCAATTAAGTAATTAATTTTATTATTGTATATACTATGCACAGAAGCTTCAGACAGTAATTTGACTTCCGTTTATGATAGCTAATAATATTATCACCGATTGAATTTATCCAGGCACAAGAATACTCCGAAGCTGCGAGTCCATAAAATTACATTTTCGATTTGCAAAAAATAAAATAGATAACAAAATGTATGAAATATCTGAGTTGAACAATTGTTACTAATTTTTCATTTTGCAAATAATTTTAGAGATGAGAAAGTCATTCTGACATTTTTATTTATTTTAAAATGTGATATTGAACGGAAATGTCGACTTTACAGTTTCTATTTCAAACAGTCTGCATTTCACAAGACTTTAATCTGTCACGTGTTCACATAATCTTGTCCAGTATAACATTTTCATATTTATCCTAAATGAAACATTTGTTTCCCGCAATTCCTGTTGTATCTATTTACAAATTTAAAAAAAAACAGTATGTTTATTCGAGCAGACTTTGAAATTTATTTAAATTATTCTCGTGTATACACATGCATTTATTAATGTAAGATCTATTACGCCATTAATTATATAGAAAATATTTTTCATCTTTCACTATCATATGTTTTGTTATTTCAAAATATTTCTTTTCATCTATCACTGTGTTAGTATTTCATATATTTAGAAAAGTTATAATATTCTGTCGAAACTCGCAAAAGAAATTCAGGAGTAAAGAAGGACGATTTATTATATGTTTCTCTTAGTAGCCAATTCCAGTGAGATCTTTTTATAGCAGTAATATAAAAGAAGATTTCTTTCATTTTATGGAAGTAATTCCTATTAATATAAAATATTACGTCAACTGTTACATTAAGAGCCATTTCTAACATTGATGTATAAATACAAAGATTCGCATTCAAGATATTTTACGGTTTCGAATATACAGGGTCGCTTCGAAAGTTTTGGTCAGTCTTTGAAATTTTATAGAAAATTTAATTCTAAACAAAAAGTTTCCTATAAATATAAGTTGAAAAATGCTTCTTTAAAAAGAGAGAGAGTTAGCGCTCAAAAACTTCTGAAATCACAATTATTTTATATATTTTTGCAAATATCAAAGAAAATATATACGTTTTTTTAAACAAAAAGTTAGCAAATAGTCGAGAAAACTTTTCTTGTACATTTGAAACTGATCATCTCAAAACCTATGGAACGTACTGTAATCATTTTTATCTCATTTGCAAAATAATTTAATTCTCTGCAATGTTTGTTTCAGTACTTTTCATTCAGAATTAAATTTTCCTATAAAATCTTAAAGTCTGACCACAAAACGTTTGAGGCCACCCTATACACACACACACACACACACACACACACACAGGGTGTATAAAAAATACTGAAATCCCTGAATATCTAAAAAATGTAAGATTTAGTTTCATAAAAAAATATTTGAGACAAAATGGTTGTAGGGTTTAAAAAAATTTATCTACTGATCTTATCAGCTTGAACTTGGGTCGCAAGATCAAGTAAAGTCACATCGATTTTTTAAATGGAAACCCCCATTTTTCATTACATATTTTTGTAACTCGAGAGCTCTTCGAAACACTATAAAATATTTCTTTATTAAATACTTTTTAAATTATAAGGCTTGACAGTTACAGTATTAGCATTATGAACTAAGATGTTCGACTAATAGTTAAAACCTTTTGCATTTGTTGTTCAGGATTATGATCATAACATCATATATCAAAATTAAGGATGTCATTCCTCTTATTTTCAGTTTTAGTGTAAAACGTCTAAAGGCCTTGATCTTGACATATAATGGTCCTGAACAACATTTAAAAGGTTTTTAACCAGTCAAACACTTTAGATAATGCTAATGCTGGCGATTCTATAACTTCCAAGCCTTATAACTAAAAAAATACTTAATGAAAAAATATTCTGTTATAGTGGTTTGAAGAGTTATCGTGATAAACTACAAAAATGCAATAAAAAACGGGGGTTTCCATATAAAAAAACCTTGTGGCAACACCACCAAATGTCAAATTGATAAGATCAGTAAATAGATCTTTTTAAACGTTACAACCTTTGTCTGAAACATTTTTTAAATAAAACTTATATTTTTCGAGATATTTAGGGATCTCTCTCTCTCTCTCTATATATATATATATATATATAATATATTGCTTCTCAGTCGAAAGTGATCTGGAGATACGGTAGTGTCTCGACGCTAAGCCAAACGCAGTACCGTGTAAGGGAACATGGCGTTCCTTTGACCGGTTGTACCTTTAATCATTCGAATTTATAAAAAATCTATTGGATATTTGTATAAGTAAAAATATGTAGTTTGTAGTACGAGTATCAGAGGTATTTTATAATTTATAATTATAACAATGAATAGAATTATACTTCTATGAAAAATCATTGTTTTCAAGCGTTCGAATGAAGTAATTTCAAGAGGTTTTGATCTCATAAAATGTTGTATATGTATCCTGTCTTATGTTGGAATTGCCTAAAATGTTAAATAGATATTCAGAAAAAATTATTTAAAACTTAATACTGTCAATCTTAACCTATAATTTGTAAAAGTAATAACAAATAGAAAGTGAGCAAGCGTTGTTTAACCAGTAACTGATAGTGTTACCTTTGAGCAGTTAATGGTACGGCGTCGGATAATCATTTAGTTTAGCTATCTTACCTCCAATATTAATAAAATTATGCTCATTAGACGCGATTTTGAATGAAACGAAGAACACTATTTTTACCAGATTCAATCGTTTCGTGCAAAAACAAAAATCGCGTCTTTGTATGGTAAAGTTTATTTTGATATATTTTATATATAAAGTTATATATATATATGGTGTAAAAAGACATCAAAAATAAAAATATGAATAAAATTAAACTTTTGTTGAATATCTTATCTTTATACACACATTTTATACATTGGTTAAAGGTATAACACTCCCTAATTAGAGGTACAACATGAGTGTTGTACCTTTGACCAAAATTCAATTTTTTTCTGTAAAAAAAGATGTACAAAACATAACAATTTAAATCTATAAAAAATATATGTTACTGTCAACACTTCAAAGAATATTTTAGAATTTTAGACATCAAAATACAACTTGCACAAGAAAAAATGTCAAAATTGGTCAAAGGTACACCACCTTCCCCTATAATATTTCTGAGACTGTTAGGTAATTAAGACTGATTATCTTTGCGAAAATATATAATTTGCTATTACTATTTTTTACTATCCTTTATTTTATAAATATTATTTCGAAAGTTTCGAGAATCAGATTTTTATTAAAATGAAAATTACAAAGCTGTAATTGTAATTACATAGATTAACATAAAATCAAACACTATATATTATGTATAACTCACCTTTGTGATTTTTTTCTAATTTTTTACCAAAATTGAAAACTGATGGTCAGATTTAAAAGAGGAAACATTTCTAAACATTTAAAAGTATGAAACATTTTCAAAGATTTATATAAGTACAATGAAGTTTTAAGAAAAAGTAGCATTTAGATCATGTTCGGTATACACCTAAGTTTATCTATCTATATGTTTTCTTCTTTTTCGTAAAAAAACAGTTAGGGAAATAAAAAATAAAATGAACCAACGTTACTTTTATAAGATTATAAGTTTATTAACATATTGACATATTTATTGACATGTAAGAATTCACAAAGAACTATTTTTTAAGCAATTAACTTATCTTATACTAATTTACTTATCTACTTATCTTCACAATGTTTAGCAAGTAAATTAGAATCCATGGCACTGAATAACAAAAGTACAAGAAAAACGTTACAATCGATATACATATGTACATTCAGTATGCCTAGGTTGGTCTACCTTACAAAGAGTTCCCACTCCTTGGATATAAACAAAACGTTGTAATAAAAATATAATAAATACAATGTTGTAAAATATAAATACAAAGCATAATATGAACTACAAAAATTAATAACCATTTCTTCTTGGTAGTTAAAAAACATATGTGTAATTATAAAAGAGAAAGAATATAAAAATTAATAATAAAATATAAAAAAGTTAAAATGGATTAATAAAATCTGTTTGTATAACATATAATATATGTTTGTATAACATATATCACATAAGTAACAATTAAAAACAATTAACAAGATGTGTTAAGTAATCTTTTTCATATTGAATAACAAATACGTATACATGTGCAAGTACAATACAGTAGGTACAATAGAGAATCCACATACGGTTCCTTTGTCCACACCATATTATCTTAGAATTCAAGTGGATTTCAACGTTATTAAATAATATAATATTTCGAAAGAAAATTGTCTTCTATCAAAGAAGATTGTACTAAATCTACTTTTCCCCAATACAAAATGAATTATAACTAAAAGATATTAGGCTTGAAAGAAGTTGTTGCAAATACGGTTATATAATAAAATGAGATGAAGCTTAATTCATCAATGTTCATAAAATGAAGAAATCAGATAACTTTTATACTCTTTCTAATAACTTCTAATTATTTTATAATCACGTTTGTAATACTTTTTTATAATTTTTATTTTAACGTAGGCATATAAAACAACAAAAATAACCGATTCAGGGCTAATAAGAGTCAGCGCGGGAGAGATTGCGCAATATTAATGTAGGTATATAATTTTTTATAAAAAGATAATTATTTATTAAAAAAGTGTCTAAGAAAGGAAAAAAAGTGAAAATAGATATTTATAAAAATAAACATTCATAAAAATATATATTTCTGGATATCGTCAAATTTTTTCACAAAAACATTGAAATCAGTAAATGTACGATCATGGAGTATAAAAAAAAGCAAAAATAGATTGATTGTTCAAATTTCTTAGCTTTTCAAATAAAATTCAAATTCTGAGTCCAAGTTGTTGTGATAATAATCTTTACTTTGATGCACTATAAGGTAAATGTCCCAGTAGCTAGACGTTTAAGCGTTAGGTTCTCATAAATAATACGATTTATAATATCAAAAAGGTTAATATAAATATTTGTATTCATTTGAAAACTCAAGACTCCCTTAAGCAAGGAAAAATTATTTGAACCCACTTATAACAATTATTAATTAAAATATTAAAATAAATAATAGAATGCGTCAATGTGGCCGCACAAGCCGGTCGGACACTAAGACGTAATTTTGTCCCAGTGTTCGACCACAATTGGAAAATTAATATGCTGACGGAAAATAATAATATAAATAGATGCTTAATGACAAAAGACAACTAATTCAAATTGATCTTTAAGGTAAATAAGCATTTGAGGTTAATATTAATATAAATAAATAAAGTTTTGTGTATGTACTATCCGATCCCAGTGACTGGACATGTAACTATATCCGGACACAACCTATGTCCATTTACATAACACTTTATTTATTTAAGTTAATATTAGTTTCAAATACGCTTTTTAAAACGTAATATTATAATTTAATTGTAATCTTTAAATGCTATTAAATTATAATACTGTAATAAAAAAAGCATTTGAGATTAATAATAATAAATTTTGTGTAAGTGTCCGGACATAGGTACATGTCCGGATACTGGGACATTTACCTTAAACTCCATAATTTTGAAAAAATTATTTCTTTGGCTATTAAAAATGTCTACAATATATCATAAATAGTTTGATTAAGTATTAAACTAATTTATTCAATTTTACTATAGACTGAATATTTTAAATTTTTGCGCTTTCATAATTTATATTCTCTTACTTATTGTTCGTATTTTTATTTTTCAGAAAGTCTGAAAGCTTTGATTCTGCTGCCCGAATATATAGGAATAGAAGACTTTTTTTCTTATGTATAAATTGATTTATTACTTAAAAAGATTCATCCATTAAATATGCGTGTATTAATCATAAATTGTGATTTATATTATTCTTTTACATATTTTATATTAGTTTGTTTGGTCTTTATCATTCGTTACAGTCTAATATTATTTGTTATTTCGTTCCCGACTGTTGATATTACTAGAAGTGGAAATTTATTACATTCCATTGTTTTTATTGATTACTGGATTTCATCGTTATGTGCAATATTGCGTTCGTTTTATTTATTATGAGAGGTGGAAATTATAGTATTACGTTTTATTGTGTAAGTTTGCTCTCTTTTTATTCTCTTTTTATTCAATCGATTCCTCTAACTGTCTTATGTTATTATAGTTTTGACAATATGATTCTCATTAAATATTTATGTATAACCAACAGGAAATTATAATGAAAAAAACCAGAATGAAGATTTTTAAATGTGAATATCGAGAGAGTAAACAGTTCCTCATTTTTAATTTTTAAATATATTACATTATGTATTGCATCTTAACATCGTTGGATGTTTACAACTAGCTATTACAACTATTATTTATATGCGACTAATGAAGACTATATAAGTCGAAACTAGTTTAGCGTTTGTTAAATCGCCGGTTCGCGTAAAGTATCCACGGCAGTGTCGCTGCGCTTTGGCTTAGCGCCGAGACACTACCGTGTCTCCAGATGTAATTTACACATTAAATTCAATTAATATTATTTCACCTCTAGTGTTTTAGTTCGTCTTTGGCTGTTTTCTTATATAAGTTTAAAATTAAAACATTAAAAAAATTTTTTTAAAGAATTTATTAATATATTTAAAAATGATTCCATATGATATTAATTAAAAAATAATACTGATTGTCAATAACTGTTGTATAATATATGTATATGTACTAGGTATCCGTAATATTACAATTATATTATCTCAATAACAAAATTTCAAAGCATAAAATAAAAATATTTTTTAAACAAGTGTCTTCGAAAAATCAATAAAAAATAAATATTTTACATTAAAAAAATTAATTTTAAGTAATAAATGCTTATTACATTTTGATTTAAGTTTTGGTTTCGACTATGTCGACGAAACTTTATTTTAATTTTGATTGAAATCCAAACCGAATTTTCGATCGATTTCTGTTTGAAACATAAACTTTTAAATTAAGAAAATTTTAGAAAAAACAAAGAAAACAGAAGCTAATCTTGATTTATATCAATTAATCGATAAACAAATTCAAAAATTATTCCATGTGTAAGACTGTAATTAATCCTCACCGTGTATACAGGGGTCATTTGTGTTCAAATGATTTTTAAAATTCTGAATATTTTCAGAAAACAAGTGAGTGCGCCGTTCTGCTCCTAAAAAAACTTATGGGGTGAGGGAAGATGCCCGCGTGAAAGCCTGGCAGTGGACATTATTTTCTCACTGAGCAGCAGATATTCAAAATCGAGCGAGGACACAAATGATCCCCCGTGTACACTCAACGCATATTTGTCGTACAAATAAGAAAATAATCTTTTTCGCTTGTTTCTTAACTTTCGTATTCTATGTACCTTGATAACAGAATCAATCAGTTTATTAAATATTTTTCAAGAAAACTCATATTTCTAATTTTTATTAGAATATTTTCTTTTACTTTTTAAATATTATTTTCGCAGCTGATAAACTGTACTTTTATTGCAAAAAATATAAAAATGTTGAAGAAAAAAAAATTAAAAAGCAAACTGCGAAGTTACCATTATATAACATATTATACAGGGTGTCTCTGAATTCTCGCATACAGAGTACAAGCGCAAAAAATATTTATCGGACGCAATTTTGCTACAGTTGTTTGTTTTAGCACAAAGTGTCAAGTCTTGTACTCCGTATGCGGGAATTTTGAGACATTCTATATATATATATATATATATATAAAATTTCTTCTATGTAAAATATCTAATTCGTTAATTTTCTAGATATACTCATACACACATGATTTGTGTGTTTATAACACATAAAATATTTCTCAGAATTAATATCTGATGTTTTATGTTAAACTGTTACATTAAATATAAACTGCAACATCACGAATTCACGGCAGACCTAGTTAATTATAATATTATAAAAGATTATAATCTCGTACAGTCAATTTAATAAACCTCCAATTATATGGAATATTTATTCACAGAATTTATCCATGTTATCGTTGTGTATTTTTAACAGAATATTTCAAACATCGTATATTCGATTATGCTCATACATATATTGAAAATAAAGTATCAAAGGGACACAAATCAATAATAAATAAATTAGCTTCAAGTCTTTTGTACGTAAAAATCTCATTAACGATTCTTTTTATTTTACAGCCGTAACTGTTACTGGCTCAAAATTCTGTAATTTGGACAAAAAAAGAAAAATTAAAAATAAAGAGGACCATACAACAGCTGAAACGAGACGAAATGACCATGTCGTGGTCATACACAACAAGTGCTTCGCCATCCTCCTCGATTACAATATTAATGATGACAACACTATTAACGCCATTAGCACTAACGGCAAATTACACGGAAGCCAGTGACTTTGTTGGCAATATCACAACAAATATCACTGAAGAGGAGTTGGTATATACGCCGTATAGCGAACGACCAGAAACGTACTTCGTTCCAGTAATCTTCCTTTTGATCTTGCTAATTGGCCTTATAGGCAATACTGTGCTTGCTCTTATGATCCTGCGACACACAAACATGAGAAACGTACCTAATACATACGTACTCTCGCTGGCGCTTGGGGATTTACTGGCACGTAACATTTATATATGTAAATATACATTTACGTACAAATTCCTTTATACAGAAAATCATGTGATGCGTACGAAACTACTCGTACGTGTATATCTGCTCTGCAAAACTATTAATTTAAGCGAAGTTATACATATGTTCCAATATACATGCTGGCGAATATTTGACTAGTTAATATTTGACTAATAACTCCTTTTAAGAATGTAATTCTTTTGTCATAGAATACTATCATATTATAAATGAAATTGATATCAATCATGCGATTAATCCTTGTATTACTGAATTAAGTAAAAGTTATTATAAAGTTTTGACATAATAATATCACCTCAAATTTTTGACAAATGGTAAATCGCTACTTCATCTTTCTCTATTTCAAAAGTTTTTTTAAATTCTAATACAATTACTCTTTGAAAAAAACATATATATATTTCGCCAAAAATTATCACTATTACATAGAAAATTAATAAGATCATTGATAGGAAAATGACCAATATATGTGTGATTGTTTTACCTACAAAATATTGATTTTATAAAAAAATTCGATGCCGCGATGTTTCTCCGAATATAAAAAAAGATCTCATGGTAGTTTCATTTGTAAAAGGCATCACTGAATATATCAGTACATTGGTTGCGTCAGGTAGGAGAGCAAAATCGATCTGTTTTAGTATGACGTCAATACATACGCACAATAGCACCAGTCAATTCTAGCATCGTCGTTTCACGGAAAATCCTACGTAATTTGGGTGGCTCGACCCACACGCCTCTCAACCACGCATACTCAAACAATAGTCTTAACGAGATCTGGAGGTGGTTCTTATGCCCGTATTCATAGTCAGGCCTTATATTTAAGGCTTCCTTAAATTTATCTTCAGATGCTCTACGAATTATTTCATTGGCTACTGAGCATCTAAAGATAAATTTAAGGAAGCCTTAAGTACAAGGTCTGACTATGAATACGGGCCTTAGTCTATAATATTAACTAGCTCTTACATTCCTAAAATTTCCGCTTCTCTATTCAATAATCTGCAGGAATATAGTTTACATTCCATTAATGTTACATGATATTGCGTTGCGATAAACTTACATAAACGTATAACAGATATTTGCCGCTTTTCAACTGAAATGTCTGATATCGACAGATACGATTTGCTCTCAATACAAATTGCTCACATACCAGATTTGAGATTTTAACAGTTATTGACAATATACAATAAATTGAATAAAAACAATTAAGATCGAGCTTTTCTAATCATCAAATCTCCAAAATTATTTTACCTCGCTATATATTATTACTATTTTATTTTTGCTTCGATCAATTACTATTGCATAATTATCTAATTTGTTCTACAGGTAATAATGACATGTGTCCCGTTCACCATTACCGTCTACGTTTTGGATTCTTGGCCTTTCGGATTATTAATCTGCAAAATCTCTGAATGCGCGAAGGATATATCTGTCGGAGTTTCTGTCTTTACTTTAACTGCACTGTCAGCAGACAGATTTTTCGCTATCGCGAATCCTATGCGGAAATTACACGTTGCAGGTATAAAACCACAGCTGTGTGATTTGAAACTTGAAATCATGTGCGATATAAATCATTAAGACAAGTAATGTCATTGTTGATGTCATAATCTAAGTAAGTGACATCTTTCTCAATAAATTAAAATTACATATTTTTTATAAAGACAAATAAAACTTGTACCCTTAAATACCAAAAAATGATTAAATCTACTAATAAGTATATTAAATTATTTGATTATTTATTCAAGGTAGTGGAAAAAGAGCAATACGTTTCACTACAATTATTGTGATCCTGATTTGGGTTTTGGCTATAATATTGGCGATTCCCGGTTCCTTTTCGTATATTAGGTTTTTCAGGGTTAATCAGAACGTAAGCTTTTACGTAAGTAAGATCATCGTACTCATAACTATAATCCCATTTTAGACCTAACTCGTAAAGTGTTATTAACAATCATACGTAAAAACTAAAAAATGTACGACGTTCTTCTCTACCCTATAAACCGTGTAGCAATGATCTAATGATTTTTATATACGTGTGTATATATGTGTGTCATATAATTCCAGGTATGTTATCCTTTTCCCGAGAAGTTTGGACCCAATTATCCAAAGACAATAGTAGCATGTCGCTTTTTCATCTACTATATTATACCTCTCACCATCATCGCTGTTTTCTACATTTTGATGGCCAGACATCTTATGCGCAGTACGAGAGATGTACTCTGCGAAATGCAAGGACAGGTAATTGGCATATGTGTGTTTAATTACAAGTTAATTATAACATGCGAAGATACCAAAGTGTTTCATCAAAATTTAAATTCAGATTTCTCTTCCTGTCTATTTTTATATCTCTGTTCTTAAAATCCGTCTTATCATCCACGAACAATCTTAGTGAAAAATTTACGAGATTATGGCTACGTTTACACCGTGCGCTTAGTCCGCGACTATACGATAGGTGTCTTTGTTTAATATACAGGATAAACAAGGACATCCATTGTATAGGCCGCGACCTAAATGCACGGTGTAAACGTAGCCAATATTACAGCCTGGAAATAGTCTATACAACAACCAACCAGGCCTGTCAGATAGTGGTTCGCCGCCCGCGCCGAGCTCTTCCCCCTCCAACTCGATTCCCCGGATAATTTCAGGGACGGCTGTGAGCCGTTGCGATGTAGGCTCTACTTCTCATTAGTCCTCATAGTAAATCATTGGAAATTTCGATTTTTTTCTTCTTCGCTACACGACATAGTCAGGGATCTATATTGAATATTCTATATTGAAAATAAAAAGGATTTAAAATATTTATATGCTTGAAAGAGAAGAGCTATTTAGTACTTTTATTGTAAATTTAGTTACTTCTATCGTAAATAATTACTTTTATCGTAAATAACTTCAAAAAATTATTATTTTTAAACAGACAATTTATAAAAAGTATTTCACGTTAAGGTTTGTAAAACGAATTTTCATTTTTTGCGTCTTACATCTAGTACATTAATATGATAGATGGATACGTTTAGTATTGCTAACGTATTGATACTTTAAGTTTTGCAATATTTTATTAATATATTTAATATTTAAATATTAATAATTTAAATAATTCATATTAATGTAGATGCAAAAAATGAAAATTCTTTTTACACACCTTAACGTGAAATACTTTTTATAAATTGTCTGTTTAAAAATAATAATTTCTTAAAGTTATTTACAATAAAAGTAATTAAATTTACTAAATAGCTCTTCTCTTTCAAGCATATAAATATTTTAAATCCTTTTTATTTTCAATATAGATCCCTGGCTACACTACGTCGTATAGCGAAGAAAAAAAATCGAAGTTTTCAATAGTTTACTATGGGGAGTAGGGCCTACATCGTGACGGTTGACAGTCGTCCCTGAAATCGATCGGCGCTGCGGGTCGAGTGGAGGGGGAAGGGCTCGACGGCGCGGCTAGCTTGCCGACTATTTGCGTATTCGATTTGCTGACTCGACCCGACCCACATCAATGATCCGTTCCGTTTAACTGCAGAAGAAGATCTAAACCGTGCAAGAAATGCAGTTAAAAAGAAGAGACCATTGACTCGAAGTCTGATCGAATCAGTAAATCAAATACGCTATATCTAACATCTAACTAATTTGACAGGTCTGTAGTAAACAATACTTGTTCATTTGTGATATTAATACATACTGTATTACATACTGTTTCAGATTAAACAAATACAAGCTCGTAAAAAGTTGGCGAAGATGGTAATGGCTTTCGTCATTATTTTTGCTGTGTGCTTCTTCCCACAACACGTTTTCATGTTGTGGTTTTATTTCAATCCAACTTCGCAAACAGATTATAATATCTTTTGGCACTACTTTCGTATCTTGGGTTTTTGCCTTGCTTTCATCAATAGCTGCATCAACCCTATCGCTCTGTACTGCGTAAGCGGTGCTTTCAGAAAATACTTTGACAGGTAAGCTTAAAATTGTAGAATCCATTATAGTAGCGACAAAACGATGAACATCATAAAACTTGACAGATTTGGAAAATCGAACGGAATTTCTTGTAAAAGTAACTTGAAAAAGTGTGTTTATGAATATTTTTTTTCTGGTTTGAAAACCTCTGTATTAAAAAGTATAACACATTACTTATTCAAATATAAACCAAAATCTCTTTTTTTCCTAAACTCTCAAAATTTTCTTTTTCGGAGGCACGGAGCTAACAATATTACGGAGCTAAATCGATACTCATTTGATTGATTGCGTCTAAACAACTTTGTAATTTGTACAGATATCTGCCGTGTTTCGTTATTATGAAGAGAAGACGGAGACGACATCGACAATCACCAGAATCAAGTTCACGCGGACGAGGGCCAAGTTCTTCATTTGTCAAGTCAAGAAAAAACTTGGGCGATTCCCGTCGAGAACAACGAATTGCGATGCGTCTCTCGATTATGACGACTGATGTACGACCTACGACTCCAATTAAAGAACAAGAAACTTCTATGACTCTGCCAGCAAATCCAAATGGCACTGGTGAGTCATTAAGAAGTCAACGAGTCTCGATGGAACCAACCGTACGTGATCGATTAGTTCCATCGTAAGGAAGACATCAACGTCATATTTTTTTATAATTATTTATATAAAATAAGTTTTGTGTCACTTAATATTGATCAAGTAAAATTATATTTTGATGATATCTTTTTACAAATCAGACTTCAGATTATTCAATTGCAATATATTTAACTATAGCCTTCAAAAAGTAGTAAAATTTTTCATATACTAATTACGAGTAATTAATATATGGATTATTTGGTTATATAACATATTAAGTAACATGTTTATTGTTCCTTGATACAACTTAAGATAATGTTACGCAAATAAATACCTGTTAGTGTATTTATATGTTTTTCATGTATAAAGATTTGTATTTAAATGTAAAAATATTAATTGAGCAATATATTAACAAAACGTATTGCATCTAATGACTGTAAAATGTATAATCAAATGTAATAATATGTACAACAATGACTATTAAAATGTACAATCAAATGAAATAATATGTGCAAATATGTGTAAATATAAAATGTATAATTAAATGAAACAATATGTACAAATGTAAATATGTGCAAATAAAAAATGAAAAAAAAGAAGTCTTATTAGCGCGCGCGCGCGATAGGAAAAGATATTACTAATTATAAATTTATTTTATAATTATCATTTCCACGATGATTATAAAATCTCAATTATGTTATTGTTCGTATATTATATTTGTAATTGTTTTATTTGTCCTCTCGGATTCGACTGTAATTGGTCAATTTCTTACGACTTAAGTCTCAAAACACCTATTGTAGATCCGGACTGAAGCCTATGAAGCTGGTTCTACATTAGTCGCACCGTAGCGTCGCAAGTGTTGCGGTCCAATCAACGTCAAGCTAGCTCGACTCTGATTGGACCGCAATGCTGCGACACGTTTGCGATGCTGCGATGTGATCAATGTAGAACCAGCTTGAATGGCCTAGTTCCTTTACGCCGTACGCCGTACGTTGGCTCCACGGAGTAATAAGAAGGAGATTAAGTTCGAGGATGAAATATGGGCTCGAAACATGGTTTCGGAAAACCCCATGGAAAATCGAGATGTGATTTTAGCGCCATTGCGGGAAAAGTTGGAAGTATTGACTGTCACGTGACATACATTTCGCTCTCTCTAACCTACATTTCGATGATAATACCCTAGTTCACAGTTTTCTCCGACAGGCGCGCTCGGATCAGTTTTTCTATACAGCGCTTTTCCGACACCGTGTTTCGAGCCCATCTTTTTCATGCCGACCGCTTGAGCTTGGACCGATATTCATAGTCGATTCTTATATTCAAGACCGTCTTAAGTATAATCTTAAGATGTCGCAAACCAATCAGAGAGCCGCATTAGCACCTTAAGACATTATTTAAGACGGTCTTGAAATAAGAACTGACTATGAATACCGGCCTTGATCTCCTTCTTATTACTCCGTGGCTGGCTCCAAGGGACTTCACCTTAAGACCCGTTTACAATACACGTAGTAAGCTTGGTTTAAGAAATAAGAATAAGAAATTGACCAGTCACATCATACATAGTCGATTATTCTTCTCACATTCGACTGTGATTGGTCAGCTTCTTAGTACGGACTATGGATTCGACCCTAGTGAAGCTGAAAGTAAATAAAGAAAGAAAATATATATATATATATATAATGGCCGTATTTCTCTCTCTCTCTCTCTCTCATTTAAAGAGACAGAGATTAAAAATCATTTTCTTTCTTTTTTACGATTTTTCTTTGTGAAATGAGGAAAACAGAGGATTATCAAGTTCGCGATAAATTTATAAGCAATGCATAAACGTATATAATGTCGCATTTATCTCGTTGCCGAATGATGCAGATTTAAAAACTATGTTTAAATCAGTGTTTCATCAACACTAATTTTCGATTCATATTTTTATTTAATTCAATAGATATTTTATCCAACGTATTGCATTTTATCATGTTATTCTTTATTATCCGATGTTTCTTGTATAACCGGCACAACGCGATACGACGACCGTTACGATTGGTGGACAAACGGTAGAACATTTGGTCTGTTGGCTATTTCCGATCTCGCCCGGCTATGAGAATTGTCAGACGACGTGGCCGATGATGAAGTATGGTGGGCAGTGCAAATAAAACGGTGATACTATCACCAGTTTCCGATATGTCACGCAGCGAGGACAGCGAGGCTTAATAAAGTAAAAAAGTCGGTATTGTTGCGTTGAATTGGACTCTCCGGCCGCGTTCCAACAACGTCGTTTCGATCCTCTCGTTGTCGCACGACGTTGTAACATGGGTCTGTGCAAGTGTCCGAAAAGAAGAGTAACGAATCAATTTTGTTTTGAACATCGTGTCAATGTATGCGAACACTGCATGGTCACCGGTCACCCGAAGGTATTTTCTTCCCGAATGTATTTTTAACATTAAAAAAAGATCTGTAGATATCTTTGACGCTCGTTCTTTCATGCAGTATCAAACGGTTCATAACCATGCGTGATACACATATCTAATGTCACTGATTTTATGTTTTACAGTGTATAGTGCAGTCGTATTTACTGTGGCTCCATGACCATGATTATAATCCAGTCTGTACGCTTTGTTCGGACAAATTGAGCGATGGAGATTGTATAAGATTAACGTGCTATCATATGTTTCATTGGGTGTGCTTGGATCGATATGCCAGAGATTTGCCAGCAACTACTGCACCAGCGGGATACACTTGTCCCACGTGTAGAGTGTGTATCTTTCCACAACCAAAACTGGTATCCCCAGTCGCAGATGTTCTGAGGGAGAAATTGGCCACTGTCAATTGGGCTCGGGCTGGTCTTGGTTTACCATTGGTACTTGTTATAATTATATATTATTTTACTAGAAATTAAAATGCCTATACCGGTCGAAGCTAGATCTTTTAATGCTTAAATAATTCAATGTGAATTATATATATACTATACTATACATGTATATATACCATATTTGTAGTCTTTGTATAGGCATTTTAATTTCTAGTATTGATTGTGTTTCTCACATGTTATTGTCTAAAATAAGATTCTTATTGTTCATATTATTTTACTTATCAAAAGTGTTTTCTATTAATGCCAAATTTGTTGTCTTTTATCAATTAATCATCATAATTGTTTTGTCGTAGCTAAGTGAAGACAGAGAACAAAAACCAGAACAGGAACGTTCTTCGATAATCGTGGAGAACTCTTTATTCCAAAATCATACAGCTGCTATACCATCGTCACCTACAGTAGCTGTGTCTCGTACAAGCAGTACTATAAATTCAAATTCCATTGTCAGCAATGTACATGCAAATAATCAGAAGCTTGGTCCACCTTATTCAGTCGTGAATATTGATTCGTCTCTAGGATTATCCACTCCGGCATCTAGAAAAGTATGCGAAGCTTACGACGATCCAAAGGACATGTCCTTTGATCATGATGAGAACAAATACCAACGCAAGTCAGCCATAGAATGGTTCCGAAGATGGTGGAAATTGATATCAAGAGCACCAGTACGACGAAAAACTGCAGGATCTATATATAAAAGATATGCAGTATTGGTTGTCATTGGTATATTATTCTTTGTTGGAATTATTTTGCTCTTTTCGTGGCTGGGCAGAATGGCGACCGATGGTGATCCAAGTTTCAACGTAATAGCGAATCCTAATCTGAAATTTGGGGAGAAGTCTGTAATTTAATATATTACGAGCAGTGATACAACAATAATCAGTCTGTTATAAGAGATGGATGAAATAATCTCTGGAAATGCAAGAGATGTGGCAATCGCGAATACATAATTGGAATGCAGTTAGAATTGTGAAAAAGCACAATTTTGTGGGACAGTAGGACAATCTATAAATTAGTGTATGTAATATTTGTTAATTTTTATGTAAATTATATCTCAGCGAAATTGTACATTTAAACCTGTAAAGGCTTATCGATTTATAATCTATGAAAATATTGTAAGAGAATGTATTAAAAACTTGTTTTCTTATCCATATGTTTAGATCATAAGATTGTAAGATCGAGGAACTTGGAACTATTTTGCATGTGATATTTTACATATATATAGTAACTCAGTATTTAACGCATTTTAACCTTTTATCTAATTTTTATGTGACGTTATTTAACCGGTAGTTTGTCACTTATATTTTGTATTTTATGAATTATGAATTATTTTTTATGTAATTGATTTTTTATTTATTGCAATGCGAAATAGTTAATTTTTTTGGGGCCAGATAACATCTTCATGAAAGAATGTTTTCTATCAAATCTGGGACTTTGAAAGAAAGCAGCACAGTTTGATATCTCTCCAAACTTTACAAGCGTAAAGGAAAAGACGTAATATATGCTTTTTCCTGTGTAGTGCGGAATAATGAAATTCTAATGAAGACTATCCAATCTTTATAAACAACTAACCCATGAAATATTAAAATGCTTACAATACAACCATACCTACACGCAACATGGGTACGATTTATTCTGTTTTTTTTTTCAAACGTAACATTTTTTCTTAAAACGGATTTTGTTAAAAGATTTACTCAAGTTCTCTTTTGTTATACCTAACAAATAAAATGTAAGAGTTTAATACGTTTGTCCCTGCTTATTCGATAACTGAATAATAAGGGTCTCCATGGCCATATTACAATATTAATTTGTTAAATAATTAATTTTAATTGTTAATTATTTAGTTAATTGTTAATTGATCCTCTGATGATGAGGGATACATTAACATTCGAACAAATCGAAATTGAATGTTTTGATATTGAAACATTTTAGGCGACCAAACTTGGGAAATTGCATTTTATTTTGAATACTTTACTGCCTATTCCGCATCAAAAATCAACGAGAATGCATAATGACGGGCGTTACGTGAGTCGGGTCACATTTCTTAACGTTGTAGAGAGGCTGGTTAGGCAAGTCAGAACGATCGTGCAGGATCATTCTCCCCGTTTCAGCGGACGTGGCGAGTACAAGAATCGACCGTAAGTGTGAATATACACAATTATTTTGAGTATTTATTTACTAAAATCGTCAACAAAATTTACCCTTTAAAAACACATGTATATTTTTACAATTGAATAACGAAGTCTTTATCAGTTTGAATTGGATCTTAGAAATAACATTTCGGTATGAATTTATACTCTTGTTCAGTTCTGCAATCTGCGCGTCGGAATCATTTTCAGTCTCGAACGCAATCGTACACCAAACTCTGATAATAATATATCACAAATTAAATTGGCAAGCAATTTAATTTGTAATATTGACGCTAATAAGCATCTATGTAAGTTGAGGTTTTTGTTATTCAGTTGCATTTTTTTATTTTACTAAGTGTGACGATATTTAAATCCATAGCAAGCAGTCAGAGACCGGTTTGTGCATAAATCGTGTAAGCTAATACTTGTATATCGGACAACAAGCATTTGTAGTGAGTATTCACATAATTTAAACATGAATTCGGTGGAAGAAGTGTATGGTAGCGGATGGGCAGCGTGGTGGAGAAAATATTCAACAGCATTACAAATTGGAACGACAATTTCGTGCAATATCGCGTATCTTGCGGATGCCGGACACACACATAAGGCTGTGACGCTTTCGATGGTTTTGCTGGGTAAGAAGATCCATCTGCTTACTTTGCTCATTTTTCCCGTTCAGTAACTCGATTGAATCGAAATCAAATATATTCCTTGATGTCTTAAATCTTTTCTAGATATTATATCTGATTTTAAGAAACATTATTATGCCTCCTTTAGATTTAAACCTTCGCTGATAACTTTAAAAGGTACCATCGATATTTCGATTGCAAATTTTCGCGTAAATAAATTTAAATCTGTTAAAAATAAGTAAAATTTAAAAATTAGAAATATGTATTATATTCATAACATCTAACTTTGACCGATTATTAACATTCTTTATATTTATGTATAGCATTCACACGGTCGTATTTATCTTTAAAAATAAGTAAAATATACAATCCGGTTTCTATGATGATAAAGATTTGTTGTTAAAGCTTTGCAGTGTACCAGAATTTCTTTCAGATTTTTATATAATTTGAAATAAAAAAAGCTCTGCTTTTAGAAGACTTTTATTACTGATGGAAGAGTTAAATTCATGTTGCCGGCAGAGAGAGAGAGAGAGAGAGAGAGATAATTTGTTTTAAAAGAATTTGCGAGATGCATTTTAGATATGATCTCATTAATTAACTCAATTTGTTAAGTACTTAACTTTGTAATTACAACGATATAAATTTTTGTCTTTTGCTTAATTGTACCAACAGTTATATAAAACAAATGCACTATTTAAAAATGTTATCACTAACGTTTCGACCATTTTTTTGTTAGGATATTCGTGTATAGCATACCAGCTTCAAAGATTTCAATAAGGCAAAGTTTGGATATATTACTAATTTGGTATAAAAAAAGAATTCAAATTAGCGATAATAAGGAAATTTCTTGTTCTTTCCTTTCGCAGGTGGTGCTACTTTGTACTGTTTCTTCAGTCGTCGGCGGAAAATAAATGCACGGGATCTTATCGTTATAACCGGTTGTAATTCCGGTTTGGGCTATAGTCTAGCGATGCACTGTCGTGCCAAGGGTGCGATGGTTTTGGCCGGAGTGCGCGAAATGCCAACAGTGCCTTCTAACGCCGTTGAAGCATTAAGGAATAAAGGCGTTATTGTTCATCAAGTCGATATTACGGATGGACAATCCGTTCGGGATTTTCGTCACAAAGTTAAAGAACTGTTGGAGGAGCGGCAGTTAGGTGAGTAATACGAAATAAACAATTGAGTAAGATACATCTCAATAAACACAATGTTACATGTAACGTACATGTAACATGAAATGTCAGCTCAACAAGATAACTAATATAACACAGTGTGTATAATTGTATATTACAGTTATCTTGTTGAGCTGACATTTCATGTTACATGTACGTTACATGTAACATTATGTTTACTGGGGTAGGAGGATGCAAATAATTTGTTAGTCTGTCAAATTTTATATTTGTTTGTTATATTGTCCGCAGTACTGCGCACGTTGGTGAATAACGCAGGGGTGATGGTTTTTGGCGAATTCGAGTGGCAAACGCAGAAACTCGCGGAGTATCAGGTAAACGTGAATCTGTTGGGAACGATGAAAATCACGCGAGAGTTGATGCCGATTTTACGGGAGAATCGCAGCAGAATTATCGTGATATCTAGTCATTGCGCTAATGAGTCCTTACCGGGTACAAGCATCTATGGGGCTACGAAGGCCGCCCTCCTCGCATGGACCACTTCTCTTCGGGTAGAGGTTGGCAAATACGGGGTCGAAGTGGTCTCCTTTATACCGGGTCAGTACAACTTTATCTAATTTTATCGGTACTAAGTAAATAAATTATTTTCGCTAAATATGTTTTGTTTGATTTATTTTTTTGAGCTGTTCTTTTTTAATACGATTCTCTTTCTTTCTCTGCTCACGACGATAGGTGGCTTTGTATTACAAAGCAATATCATGAAACGGCAACGGCTGCACTTTGATGAAATGAGACAACACATGTCGGAGGAAGTGAAACAATTTTACGGCAACTATTTCACTCGATACGCAGAGTACTTTTGTATGCCCTCGCTTACGGAAAATCGAGATCATGCAAAGATTATATCAGATCCGAAAATTTATGAAACCTTTGACAACGCTCTTCTCAATATCTATCCTTCGGCAGTTTACAGGTAAACTTGCTAGCGATATGATTAGATACCCAGCAAACATCAAGTTACACGTAACATAATGTTAATTGTAACTTCCCACTCAATAATATAATACGTGTTACATTACAATTGTTGAGTGGGAAATTACAACTAACATGTACGTTATATGTAATTTGATGCTGGATGCAGTTTGTAAAGATCGCTCATTCAAGCGAAAAACATTATAATTGTTATTGCGTTGATTATATATGTTAAAGCAACGATCGCTATATTATTTTCAGATGTGAGTCATGGAGATACTTCTTTTATCGTATTTTATTCAAAAGCACTCCAATGTCCATGCGCGACCGATTGGTACAACGTTTCGTCGTAACACCGCCATGGAAGACCGATGAAAAGTAAATTATCGTTATTATGTTACTAAATAGAATTTTTATTCTTTATTATGTTTAATGCTCTTTTGTATTTTTTTTTTTATTCAAAAGAAGAATATTATAATTATTCATTTAAGAAACTGTGACTAAATGTGACATTACAACGTTATAAAATGGAAGATTAATTATTATATAATTCCTCTCCCTTTTTTCTCTCTTTTACAATCTTTATCGGCAGTATTTTTTCGAACGAATAATCTATGAGATTGGCGCGAGTGAGGCATTTTTACATTATTTTATTCATTGACGTCGTGCTGCTGATGCAGCTGTCTGTTGGTGTGGCGATTACATTAATTATTACTATTCACCCAGCTGTAATAGCAAGTGAAATATTAAAATTCGTGAGAAAGTTATAAATAGCAACACGAGACAATAGGAATGAGCTGTTCGAAAATACATACAAATGCATACATATACGAATAGACACATGAAACACACATATACGTTACATATATGACGTTCGTGGAACGGTTCGTTCGAAAATAATATCACGATAATTCTTTTCATTTCTACTTAGTTTCTTATAAAGTTTTTTTTCTGTATAAGAAAGAAGTGGACGGACTGTTTCTCGCTCCGTTGTATTGGTCTCCGTTATATTAAATAAATAGTTGCTATGTAATTAAATTAAATATAATTATCACAATTTGCTAAACGATTAACAATAGGCCGTTACTTATACGAGGTCATTGCGAGGGAAATATTACGAAGTATTGAGATTTTAGAAAGATCACGGAGACTGATACAAAAAAAGGCAGCTAGTCCACGGCGAATAACATTTGTTACTCGGTTTCGAAGAATAATGCTATAATTGTCGGTCAAAATAAATGTAAGTTTAACGGAATAAAATTTTTGAATTTTTTTAGTCCGAACATATAACACAATTCTTAAATTGGATTTATCAAAAACAACGATTGCTTTATTTAATTGTTGATAGATTACTTTGATTGTTCGGCGATTGAATTTCATGTTTATGATTGATAATTTCTATAAACTTGCAATGTCATCGATGCAGGTGTTAGCTCTCGAGTGTCTGGAGTTTTTTTTTCATTCGAATTAAAACTTATCAATGTATAGGGCAGCCAGGTGTTCGATTAGATATCGTGCTAATAAATAAGCGATTATTTCACCGATTGAGAATCACATCGATTGTCACTGCTCCGGTGAAGACGCCAACATGAAAGCTTTCGCATCCGGTAAATTTTTCCAACTGTTAATTTCTTTTCCGATTTACATATGGTGAATTCGATCACTCGCACTACACTGGATCAGTGTATATTAAAAGCTGCTTTATATAAAATATCTCAATGTAGTGATACAATATAATCAACTTTGACAATGAAATGATACACATATATTTTGTTAAATAACATGACAATATTATTAGTAGATAGTTAATCGTTTAAAATATTTATATATCTTTACATTTAACTTTGCTAATGTCACGTGAAACTGCTTTTAGTATGCACTGATCTAGTGTAGTGCAAGTGACCGAATTCGCTAATAATGTTTACTTCGAGGCGCGTTATTTGACTGTTTACATTTTTTACGTTGCAGCCTGTATCATCCTTGCGATCTGCGTCGCAGCGTCCCTACAAGACACTCCGTACAATCGTTGCGAGAATGGACCTCCACCCACGTTATTGGTAGTAGATGAATGCAATAGTTCTCCTTGCGGTTTTTACAGAGGAACCAATTTGACGGCGCATTGGAACTTTAAAGCCAGTAAGTAACGTTATATATATGTATATAAAAAAAAGAATCAAGTTAAACATTATCTAAAATCAGCTGATCGGTGCAGATCCAAGCATAAATTATAGCGAATTAACACTAAGCTTGTGTTCTCGTCTAGAACGATTATTCGCAGAGTTTGCAAACGTAACATTGACAGTATTGATGGTATAACATTGACCACGAAAGCCTGGCGAGCAAAATTTGTAGAACGCAGCCTTGAATAAAATTGAAGCCGATTCTATTGCTAAATTTCCGGCAACAAGTTAGACGATGCGTATGTTTCGAAGTTTGTTTTGTATAACGCGTTTTGTTGGCTCGTGCAAAGCTCGTGATATTTTTACCAGTATCGTACCGATAGATGTTGCTTGACGAAGGCATAGCTTTCTCGCTGACAAAATTTAACGAACCCTTTTTGAAATATCGTTTATTCTCGATGATTTGATTATTTGAAAAATAATCGCTCAAAGATTCATCGTTAACTCATTTAATTTTTTATGTAATATCTCTTGCAGTCGCTAATACAGAAAAACTGACAACTCGCGTGAGAGTCACAATCATGGGGATCACGATAATTTATCCATATCCTTACTCGAATGCATGCGAGTCTCTGACAAATAGCAAATGCCCTTTGAACAAAGGCGACGATGTAACGTACAATCTCGTCATGCCGATATCTAAGAATTATCCATCTGTGGAGCTGACCATCGAGTTCTCCCTGTTTGACCAAAACGGGACCCCGCAAGTATGCTTCTTGTTGGATGGCCAGGTGAAAGATAAATAAAATAGGCTCCCGTATATTACGATCTCAATAGTTTAAATTTAATCAGTTTAACCTTTCTATCAGTGCATTACCCGAATATTCTTTATTCTTTAACATAAATTGTTAAATTTTTGTATAATATTATAATAGATCAGTGTAATAAATAAAATTATGTAATAAATAAAATTAAATTTGTATCAAATTTTCGTCAACGTTATTATTGATTTTCTTTCGAAATGAACGAACGAAAATAATGCGTGACAGACAACATGTACAATTTTATTATTTAATAATAGAATCGAAATTTTAATCACAAGCTTCATAATTAATTTAAATAATAATTACAATTCCCCTATAGCACGAAATATTGCAGCAATATTTCAATAGTGTGTAATATTACAAAACTTGCAGCAATATTGCTGTAGTATTGAAATTTTAATATTGTATTGGAAATATTGCAACAATATTTTATTTTTACAAACATTGTTACAATATTGCAGCAATGTTTTATAAAATATTGCAATTTTTCAAAATAATTTTGCTGCAATATTTCATGCTGTAGGGATTATGACGTTTTGTAATAAAATTTCTTTATAAAATATTTGTAAATTTTAAAATTGACGGAAGGTACATTTTTTGAATATCATATAAATATCTGTGTCGGTTAGACACCTTGAGTAATTGTGTCTTCCAACAAGCGATACAAATGACACGGTGTGACACAATGGATCATTACATCCTTGTTGTTTGCCTATGTTAAACAAAGATGACATGATCACTGTGTCGCTTGTTGGAAGGCACACGTTATTGCCGGCGAAACTATAACGTCCAAGACTTATAACTCGAAAAGTACTGCATGAAAAAATATTTTATTATAGCGTTTTGGAAAGCTCTCGAGGTGTGTTACAAGAATATGCAATAAAAAATTGGGGTTTCCATTTAAAAAATTCATGTTGACCCTGACCTGATCTTGGTAGTGTCCCCTATCCAAAACCCGTTATATCCACCTTCTTTCCCCTAAGAAAACCTACAACTTTCATATAAAACTTTTTCTTGTATCTCTTTTAGTTTCTGAGATATTCGCCTGGGGCGATTAAAATGCCCCACCCTGTATGTATCTGTTTAATATTATGAAAAGCGCTTGAAATGAGAAAATGGCTTCGAGTATCTTTCCAGGAATGATTTATAAAAAGGTTTAAGTTATATGATTTTACATGGTCTGGTATTATATCGATCCATTATTCTGATATCAAATAATCAATCATATACGGCGGATATACAGCAATATATGTACAATATTAAATGTAGCATAATAGACCTCTCTCACCACGCTATAGCTTTTTGTCAGAAGAGACTAAAACTTTTGTGAGTCGAAGAATTTTTTTTTTTTATAATATTATTTATGTATGATATATTATTCCATGCGCTTGGATTTATTTACATTACGTTGTAACGGCCGCATGCTACGTCTGTGCGCGCGAGAGGTGATAGAAAGAAAGGAAGCAGTTAGCAAAGCAGAGAAGAGAGAGAGAGAGAAAGAGAAAGCGAGACGGAGCGGGGAAAGATACAATACATCATACACACATGTTGCGCGGACGCGCCGACCAGTGTCGACCGTCGACGTCCGCGACGTCATAGGTGCGGCAGTTACGGCAAGATGGCGGACGCGAGGGAAAATTAGCGGCGGGACGGGAGATCAAACGTCTCGTCAAAGTTGAGTCTCGCGCGAAAGGGATTTCGTGGTGTGGGTGTGGCGCGGTGCGCGACGTGAGACGATCGGTTTATCGTTCGTTGATCGTTTCGATCACGCCGTCTCCTCGTGAGGACGTAAAGTTTGCGTTACGCCGTTACTGATCGACGACCGTTACGCGAAAAAGCACGTCGCGCAGTGTGACGTCACGGCCAGTGACCCCCTCACCAACCGGCGGTAGGGTAGGGTGTCGCTCTGTCTCGTTCTCGGCGACGAGACAGACGAAAGTCGGGCGTTTGCGACGGTCGGTGGTCGGTCGGAGCTGGTCGGAGCTCGCGCGGAGCGGAGTGGAGTGGAGCGGAGCGGAGCGGTGCGGTGCGGTGCGGTACGTTTCGGCCTGTTTCGGCCGCACGGGTAGCGATTAGCGAACGCGAATTGAGTCGCGCGCGATCAGTTCGCGCGTGTGCCACGGACGGAGGGATTATACGAGTTGAGTTGTGTTCTCAGTGTGTGTTGCGGAAGAAGACATCGAGGACATCGACTGTGTGAGACGTGTGACACGCGCCGCGACGACGCGCGCAGCAGGTAGCCGGAGTAAACGTCAACTACGTCAAGCCCGAGCGCCACCGGCTTGTTGTCAAGATGGCGTCCAAGGGGAAGCTAGACATCGAGGTCAGTACACTTTCCTCATATTCTTTTTTTCTCTCCCTCCAGGCCGGCCTGAATGCGCGAGAATGCATTATCGGGATAACGAGGCGCCCGTGCCTCCCGTGTCGCCCGAACGTCCTGAACGTTGCCGCGCTACGAATTCCTTCGCGTCGCGCCAAATGCCGCCCGAGCCGCCACAGCGGCCAACTTCTCGCTGTCGTTTTTCGCTCTGTTGTGTTTCGCTCAGTCACCTTGTCTGCTGCAGGGAATCGACGTCGGTCAATCGTCTACCTCGCGCCGAGGTAAACGAATTACCGCGCGCGCCGCGGCGCCATGCGTCGTCGGTCGTCTCGCTCGCGCTGTTCACGCAGGAACGTCGCGTTGTCCGGCGTAACCACGCCCTGCCACGATAAATCCGTCTGCTTGACTAGCTTGACTAGCTCCGCGTCTCGCGATTCGATCTCTCGTCTTTCACGCTTATTCGATTTTAAATCAATTAAGGTTCTATAAATGTGTTTAAACGGAGCGACTGTAGTTGAATCCTGGCAGTTGATTAACAGATGAAGATTCCATCTCTAATGTTGAATTATATGTGTCAGAAAACAATTTGTTACGGCAAACTTTGATTCCAACACGCGTGTCGATTGTTTTAGTTTCCTGTTACTGTTCTGTTTAACTAAGGTCATAAATTAAATATTATACGACGTTACACGAAATGACAAGAAAATGTTTGTAATGGAAAAACTTGTAATGGAAAATGTGTTGAGGCAATAATTCTGTTTAATTTTTTTACTCGTTTTAAGTACGTCTCGGCAAATGTAAATATACCAGGGCAGGTGTCACTAAACGGCGTGACTCACATAGTCTCAGTCATTATCGACAAAAGAAAATTATGGAACGATTATGGCGGATGACGTTTATAGTTTGCTATTCCAAAGAAAAAATTCGATATTTTTTTATTAAAGAAGAGATTTCGTGTTTTGCCGCTTTCTATTAACAAAGATCCAATGAGTGATCGAAAATTCGTAAATAGATAATAAATCTATAAAATAAGGATAAGGGACAATATCTTTCGTATCGATTCGAATGTGTAGTACGCTGGATATTCTAATCGCACGTATTATCAAGATTATCGTCCATCGGAGAGAATACGCGCTTCTTCGAATAGATTGACCGCTCGATTGGCGCGATGGACTCTCACACGATAAAATGCCAAGAATATTTCCTCCGAGATATTTATGTGAGCGACGGAAATATCTCTCTCTCTCTCTCTCTCTCTCCTTCTTGATATCGATATGTGCACCTCACGTTGGATGGACATTATTCGTCGTTATCGCGAACAACCACGCGGCCTCGCTTGTCCGAAACGTTTGCGCGTGCAATTCATAAAGCCTTTTGAATTATTTATTCTTGACGCAAAATCATGCAGCTGCGTCGCGATACGTCATTTGGTCGAGCTATGCCAACGCTGATTTCACGCGCGACTATTTTTGTAAAAATCACGTGGAGACGAGCCAAACCCGACGGAGAACGGAGGAGAAAGCGAGCGACGATCATATTGTCCCTCTTTTGAGCGAAAACGCACATTGCATTAATGAATATACGACAGGACGCGCGTCACTCGGAAAGAAATTAGTACGCGAGTCTTCTTAGAAGTTTCCCTTGTCGATCATATGTCTGGAACGTTTCTTCAGCATGCAGGAGGTATTGTACAATCAAAGAGTTTGACTGCAAATTCAATCCACTTTTCGAGAACTCGAAGTTAAACTACACTTGTGAGATCTTTTCTCTCCACTTTAAGTGACTATTTCAACACTTCTGCAAGACTATATCTTTTATAAATTACTCGCCGTTTATTTTAAGAGTGATTATGGGAAGAAACCAATCAATCCTTTCTGAAATTAATATATCAATTTAGCACACAGAAAAATATACCTATATTATGTATATTTAAATATAAATTATTTTACACACAAATATTTCAAAAGTTCATATATCCGCAAATCTATCATATCCATTACGAGCATCGAAATATATTCCGAATCTTAGTGAGTTTAATCTTTAATGAAGGTTATTAAATTAAATTAAAACAAATTCAATTTGCTTATTATATAAATAAAATCACTTCTTTTATAAAATTTTATTATGTTCTTTGAAAGCAAAGAAATTCTTGTTTTAAAAGTACATGATGAGGTTTTCTAAAATTTGTAATAAGTATATTTTAAGACTATTGTCAAGAAAATATTCATTGTTAAAGTTAATATTATAGTTATTTAAAAGAAAAAATAAATCAAGTAATCACTTTTTTACAATTAGCAATAGAATGATATTTTTCTGTGTATGGTTGTGCATTATATTTAAGATCATCATTACTGTAAGACTATAAAAATCAGCGGACGTGAAATTACTTTTCATTAGTGATAAATGTTTTGTAAGTTGCGCCGCATAGTTAAGATCGCGTATGTTGTTACACATATGCTAACGCAATTACAAAATTTGCGTAGGTTGCATATCTCCTCAAGCAACTTAGCATAACCGCTTGTAAGATGCGATTTTGCGTAACTATCTGCGATATCTGTACCACATATTATCGCGGTTGCATTCGTTGAATATTTAATTTTCACGGAAATCATAACTTTGCTCGACACGCGAAGCAATAATGGTAGCACAACGTTGTTTGTGATATTTCGCTATTGTGCATGCAGCTCACGCATGTCTCCGCCTTGTGACACGAACGCGAATACATCACATTTTTCTCTCACATGTACACATAATT